GGTCTGAGAACCCAGAACAGAGATGAGGATGATCCTGACTATTAATATTAGTATCACTATGTTTTTCTTTCTAATAAGGAAACCCAGAAACTGAATAAATTACACAGGTGGGTGTGTTTAGCTTACAGTTCTGGAGATACAAAAGCATGGCACTGGCAAACACTTGGCTTTAGTGAATATACCCTTTTACCTGCATTGCTTGGCTTTTGTTATTGATTATTTTTTTGCATCATGCATGAAAGAAATAGGATCTTCACTTTAGGTTTGACTGACAATGAAAAGAATCTAGTGGGACATACTTTCTTAGAAGCACTTTGAAAACCTGTAATTGAAGCTCTCACTAGTGATAAGCAGTGAGTATGAAGTCACAATTCCACTCTGAATGTTCTCTTTTTAGAGAAGCACTTTCTCTTCTGTTTTTTGTCTATTTCTGGTTGAAAATAAACTCCCAAATATGGGAGACTTAAAAGAAAATTGTTTCAGTTCTCCTTGAACAGGCCACTGGGTTCTCCTGTAAAAGAATGGAGAGAAGTTCCTCCTTGAACATGTTTCTAACCTCAAGTCTTCATTTAATTCCCAAGCCCTTGGACTAGGAGGAAAATCTGAATTTGCTTGTATTTAAGAGGCCTAAGTCCAGAAAATCAGGGAGACTGTGGCTTCCTCTTGGAGGAACAAGATGACACAGAATCCCTACCAAGTACAGTGGCAGAATGTGAACTATAAAAGAGCTCCTGGGATGCTAGATCTATTTTGCATTGCAGAGGTGAGGTGATGGAGGCAAGGAGACAGGAATGCAGACAAGAGGAAGAATGGAGAGCTTTGTCTGTGGGTTCTAGAACACCAGAAAAAGGAGCAACTCAAGTTCTCACCGTGACTTAATCTCTGCCTTTCCTTTTTCTAAGGCCACATCATCACCATCAAGGCCATGGTCCACAGAGAAAATATAGGAAGCGATTTAGAGGATGAGGAGGAGGAAAAAAGGACCAGAAATCTGCAAGTAATTGATTTTCTATTGGTTTCTCTTAATTATTCTTTCTTATGGAAAGGCTGTAGATTTTCCATGTTTCATCTTTCCCACATTTTATAACTTTTCTAAAGGTATTTTCCTCATCCAGATCTTTGAGGTCCTTGGACCTTCAATGTCTGTTAAATCTCTCTGCACTAACATTCTTAGTCATTCCCTGTTTTTTTTTTTTCACCACAGGCAACAGCACTTAATTATGCTGAGCAATACTGCATACCCATACACTGAGTCTGAGTTGTAGGGAGCATCAGAAACACTGAGTTGTTGCCTGATGCATGAGACACAAACAATATGGTTCTGTTTTACTGACCACTGAATAGCTGGGTTTTTCTGCCTTTGCTGGCTCTGAGCATGCATGAATTTACCCTTCCTTTTCTAGGTTAAGATTACACAATTCGAATGTAGGTCCCCTAACATGAATTGTTT